GATTTGGGATGCGTCAGAATTCTAAACTTTAGCGCTGTTGTCAAGCATGTGCATAGCAGCACAATAAGGAGTAGTGCACAGTTTTAACTAACAACATTATTTGCTCCATTGAAAACAATGGGTCAAAGGTGAGGTTCATTAAGTATATAGTTATGGTTTAAATATAGGGATAAAATGTATGTAATCTATTTAAAATGAGGGGTGGGACTAATTGTATAATGTGGTCTATCTCTAAGGAAACCGGTACATCTGTAGTGAGCAACAGGGAGAGGAGCAGTGAGAGTGAGGAAGAACAGTGTATAAGTGGAGATTTTCAGGAGCTCATTGAAAATAAGCCAAACCAGCCTAACCCCAAACACATCCCAGTTCAAACACTGTCCTGTAGGGTCCTCCATTTTCAGGAGAGGTGGTACAAAGACTATCCATGGCTGCATTATAGCCCTGCAGTGAAGGGGATTCTCTGTTTTAACTGTGTGAAGACATATGCTGTACATAAAAGTACTATGTCAAAAAAGGCAGATCCTGCTTTCTCCTCCAAAGGGTTTACTAACTGGAAAAATGCTCTAGAAAGATTTGAACGCCATCAGAATTCTCAATCCCATCATCATGCAGTCACAGTTTGTGCTCAAGAAGCAGCTCCAGTAGATGCACAACTATCAAGTGCCTGGTCAAAACAACAGGATAATGCCAGACACTGCTTACAAAGCATTGTGGGTTCAATACAGTTCCTCACCAGGCAGGGTTTGGCATTGCGTGGCCATGGAAAGGAAGATGGTAACCTGTTTCAGCATTTAAAATATAAATCCAAAGATGATCCTTGCCTTTGTGACTGGCTGTCCCATTGTCATGACTATACCTCTCCACCAGTGCAAAATGAGATTTTGCAGTTTTTAGCAAACTGCATTGTCAGAAATATTGCACAAACTATCCAGTCTCTTTCTGTCCTGCAGTATTCCATAATCATAGATGGTTCTCAAGACGTCTCAGGTGCAGAGCAAGAGTCTATATGTTTTAGATATGTGGATGAGGACCTGGTTCCACATGAAGCTTTTGTTGGCTTATATGAGGTCACAGGAACTACTGGAGTGGAGATAGCCAAAGTAGCTGAGGATGTGCTTCTGAGGCTGAATATTCCGATGGCGTGTTTAAGAGGCCAGACCTACGATGGTGCTAAAAACATGTCAGGAGCTTATTCAGGTGCTCAGGCAGAAATAAAGAAACGACAGCCATTGGCACTGTATGTGCACTGTGGGACTCACTGCCTGAACTTAATCACACAGGCTGCATGTCAGGCTAGTCCTTTGATACGAGATTCTTTAGAGTGGGTTCATGATCTGGGCTCATTAACCAAACAGTCTGGAAAATTCAAAACAATGTTTTCAGCTGTAGCAGCAGATACAGAGGGCCCATCAGCATCACTCAGGCCACTGTGCCCAACCAGGTGGACAGTAAGGGGAACTG